TGTGTTCACAAAACTCATTTTTGTCAAGTTTATAGGTACAAAAATGCCTGTCCTGTATGGCGCCCCGTACATAGAGCATGAATCTGTAGTTATTTAACATGAATAAAGTGTATGTTGTGTAAGCGCAGTAACAGTGTGAGTATTTTTAATTAATTTCTGTTCGATGCTTATTCAGGCCTGCTGCCTATGGACACCTTCTACTGTTGTTCACCACCTTTAATCGCGGCTGCTCGCTGCGCGGCCGGATGTGACGTAAGCGGTGGTAGAGGTAACCGGGTATATACATATATACATAAGTATATACCTCTGATTGGTCTGATTGTTTGTAAATGGCGAACGTAATTTACTAAAGTTAAATGAAGCGGGGTTTCTGAAAAACAATCTTTTAAGAAGTGAATAACGGTTGAAGTGAATGTATACACATATCAGTAGCAAGGTAAAGCCATGTAAAAGGGAACGGTATGTTTTTTTTCGCGCCAATAGCGGCGTACGGGCCGCATTAACAGTGCATGCATTTTGCATGCGATCTTACGAAATTTCAATGAACCCCGTTCTGTCCCAATAACCCTCACCAAAATATAAAAAAGGTTATATGGGACAGAATTATTCGGTCAAACTTTGCCTGTGGGCAGGGTTCTCTGCAGTATAGCGAACGTAAGGTGCTGTAACGACCCCTTCAGCCGGAACAGTGGCAATCAGCAAAATGTAATGATTAAAAGATCAGATTATTTACAAATCAAAGACAAAGACAAAGGTGAAAGGACAACAACATTTCTACTGTATTTACCTGTCTACATATGACAACGTATTTCTAGGCAGCCCGTTAGTATAGGGTTGTAGAGAACACGTGACTCTCGAACCATGGTACACCCGAATTTGTTGCTCTTCAGCCAGGTTTTCAGACGTAGAACTCTTAAACGTGAGCAAATGACGACCACGCTGCACTCTTATGCAATTTTGACAGTGACGTCATTCCAACCTCTGTGGTGAAATGTGCTGTGTTTTTGTGAAATTTTCACTTGTCGACGCACTCGCTCACTTCCGACAGTTTCAGTGCGAAATGCATCGGCCGGGCATTTCATTATTTACGAAAAGTAAAAAGCTTGGCGAAAAACAGTAGGTGCAGGACCTGGTCACGTCTGTGAAGCCCCATTCATGCCCATAAACGAAGAAGGCGGGGCTTATTGTGATTACGAAGATGCCAAAATGCAACAGAAGGACGTAGCGCAGTGCGCTAAACG